CGCGCGCGCGCACAGATCTACACACACACGCGCGCGCGCACAGATCTACACACACACGCGCGCGCGTACAGATCTACACACACACGCGCGCACAGATCTACACACACGCGCGCGCGTACAGATCTACACACACACGCGCGCACAGATCTACACACACGCGCGCGCGTATAGATCTACACACACGCACACGGGTATAGATCTACACACACGCACACGGGTATAGATCTACACACACGCACACGGGTATAGATCTACACACACGCACACGGGATAGATCTACACACGCGCACAGATCCACACACGCGCACAGATCCACACACGCGCACAGATCCCACACACGCGCACAGATCCACACACGCGCACAGATCCACACACGCGTATAGATCCACACACGCGCACAGATCCACACACGCGCACAGATCCACACACGCGCACAGATCCACACACGCGCGTATAGATCTGCACATGTGGAATGATGGACGTCCCTAATTGAAAACCTTTGAGTTGAGAAACAAACCGTCGGTCGGGATTCGTCTCGCTGAGCTTCCCTCTGCATAATTAATAACTTTTAATTGGAGTGTTTTTCCTGCTGCATTCCTTATTGATGAGCCGTTATTGGAGGATGACTGCGGGCCAATCGGTGAGTCGGCTTGGTCACCGCTGATTGACACCCGAGGCCCCGACAGGAAGACGCAACGAGCGCAGCAGAGTACTGGAGTGCTGCACCGGAGGGCAGTTTGCTTTCTAAAGAGGTGAAATTATCCAATAATAATAAAAAGAGCGGATCCTCTCAGGACCCCTCAGATCATCTGGCGGCCCCCTAGAAGGGCCGGACCCCTACGTTGGGAACCCGACGGCAACAAGCTGGGCTCACAATGAAGTACTTGATCAAAAGCGTACGAGTACCTGAGAAGTCGAGCAGCGCCGTGTCCTCGCCGGCCCGCCCCGTCTCCATCAGGGTGCTGAACAGGGCGCCGATGGGGTCCAGAGGGTGCCCCACCCAGCCCTCCATGTTGGTGACCGACGTGACGCTTTGGGCAGCAGCTCTGCGGAGCATCGGTCATACGTCATCACGCCGGTCAAAGACAACGAATAACGTAATTATTCCTTCTAATATAATCAGGCAGGATGATCCGGCCCGGGGGGGCAATTAAAAGATAATTTAATTGAATTAATTTCTACAGACAGTCGATTAACACAAAAAGTTGGCAAAAAATAAAATGTGAAAATGAATAAAATGATGCTTGATGATTCTCTATTAATGTCTTTTATTACTTTTCTTTCAGCGCGTTACGATTTATTAACGAACATTTGATGTTGATCGTTTAACAATCAGCTGACGACAGAACAGACCTTTCTTGTGCGTGCGGAAGAACTCCGCCTGCTTCTGCTGTTGCCTCCGCAGCGTGTTGACGATGGCGATGGCGAGCCGCAGCGCTTCCTTCGGGCGGCCGTGTGACCTCAGCGCGTCCACTCGGGCGCACGCCGTCGGGACGTGCTCTGGAGGAGGAGAAGAAGAAGAAGAGTTTTTCATGTCTCATTCTTCCTTATTATTCACGCCCCCCCCCCTCGCGCCCGCCCTCTCACCGTGCCACAGGGGCCACCCTCGGGCGTCAAACAGGGAGCTGTTGAGGTTGCCGTGGTAACAGTAGTTGGCGTAGTGGTCCTCGGTGATGATGTGCTGCAGGTGGGGGTCCTGCCAGTGGAGGTCGCAGGCCTCGATGGCCCGCGTGAACACGGTCCGGTGAGGCCGAGAGAGCGGATCTGTGAGGCGGGGGAGGAGGAGGTGAGGGAGGGGAGGAGGAGGAGGTGAGGGAGGGGAGGAGGAGGAGGCGAGGGAGGAGGAGATGAGGATATTGCAGGAGAGAAGATAATCCTTCAGGTATAATGCAGCAGAGGATTTGGGAATATAGATAAAACAAAAAGGGGGGGTTGGGGGTGTCATCTCACCTGGGTGGCCGGGGGGGCCCTGGGGCAGGGCGTTGGTCAGATTGGTCAGCTCGCTGCCATGGTTACCGTCCTCCAAGGGACAGACGTCCACGCCGTTCCACCTGCGAAGCTGTCGCAGCCAGAAGCCCTTCTGCTCGGGTTTGTAGTGGGGGTTCAGCACGATGCACATCCACAGGGCCCCTGTGCACACGCACACACACACACACACACACACACACACGTTAACAGGGGAGACAACACGCACACACACAGTAAGACATGGATTCAAGATGGAAGAGGAACACACAAAGAAAGAAGAGTGGACCCACTAAAGGATAAATAGACGATGACAGATGACAAAATGAAGAAAAGAAGGGAAGTGAAGAACTGGGGGGGAGGGAGGGAGGGAGGGAGGGAGGGAGGGTGAGGATGGGGGAGGGGACAGGAGAGCGTCTCTTTGTTAAGGCTTCAAGGACAACAACGAGCACCGAGACGATGTCAGAGGGGAGGAGTGACGCAACGCAAGGCAACAATCTACAAGGGGGGGGTTGACATGTTGCATCACATTCTGGCTTCAAACACGATTTTGATGGTTTTTCCTCAGAAACATGAGTATTTTATATATATTTTACACACACACACAACATATTTGCAACATATCCAGCCACATTATATTCAGCTTTAAATGAAAAGAGAACAGACCGAAAACCTTCACATTACAGAAATGCTTGTTGCCATTTTGATTGGTGATTATTATCATCAATTAGCTCATTTGTGTTGAATAGTCGCTGGACTACTCGTCATCTCAATGAAACAGGATCAGTTTGTGACGTGCGGGATGGGTTTGATATCAAATGATTAAAAGCTGAAGAATTGACCTCTAACCGGTGGATACATTGCTGCCGTGTGCGTGCAAGCGTGTGCGTGTGCGTGCATGTTACCTAGCTCGTCCCACAGCTGCCTGTACTTGTCGGTCATGGTGGTTCCCTGTTGCCTCCACAGTGCCAGTCTGGGGTCGCCCATGAACTGCTCTGTGATCAGAGTCAACATGCGCGCCCCGTTGGAGTCCCCCATCTTCAGCATCTCCCTCACCTGCAGGGACGTTTGCAGGGGTGCATTGTGGGTGATGTCTGCGGTTGGGCCGCGATGTGTGTGTGCGTGTGCGAGTGCGCGTGCGTGTGTACTGCGGTACCTTGCTGAACAGTAAGTTGAGCTGCTTCCCTGAGCCGTGGTACCCCCCCTGCGAGAGGAAGAGCTTGACCTGCTCCTGAACCTGCTCCTCGTCCAGGTGCCAGCAGTTGTCGTCGTCCACGCTGGCGCCGGCCGTCGGGTCCGGAGCTCCTGCACAAAGGAACGCAGTCAGAGAGGTGCTTTGATTGGCTCGCCAGCGGAGAAAGAGGCGGGCCGACGTTCTACCCAGAAACACTTCATATGTGGGGCGAGGAAATCTAACAAGCTCCTGCTTTCTGCCTTCAGCACACACACACGCACACACGCGCACACACTCACACACACACACACACACACACACGCTCACCGTGGACCTGGTTGATCTCAGAGTTCTGCGACAGGATCTCGTCGGCCAGCTTCTGCGCCGTGGGCAGCACCTCGGTGTGGTGCACGGTGATCAGGTACTGCACGAACTTCTGCAGCTGGTCCCGGTTCATTTGGAACAGCGTCTCCGAGATGGGCAGGCGCAGTTTGACCTGCTCGGGCTTCCGTACCCGGTACAGCGAGAGCGCCACCACGTGGGCGCAGTAGAAGATGTCCTTGTTGCCGCAGCCGCACGTCACCGCGGTGATTTTGCAGCGGTCGAAGCTGACGCTGACGTTGCAGACCAGCTCCGCCTCCGAGGGGGTGGCCGGCTCCCTCACGGTGCCGCTGAGGTGAAACCCTGCAGAGGAGCACGGGAAGTACTGCCTGTCAATCATCGGAGCAGGTCAGGTGACAACGTCAGCGATGTGTAATAAACCCTTAAAGAGCACAACAGTCACACACGTAAACATCACGTGACATCACAGACCCCCCCCCGTGTTTGGGTGCTGGACAGGAAGTGCACAGCGTTTGCAGCTTGTTCCTCTGAATGCTCCGTAAATAAAAACAGTTTTCTGATGGATTCTGTTCTCTGTTCAGATGGAAGAGTGGAAGGAACTAAAAGCTCCACCAAATATTCTCATTTCCTTTTTCATTTCCTGTCACCAACACCTCTGGTGTGTTCAGATTGGACGGAGGAAGAGGAGGAGGAAGAGGAGGAACATGTTCCAGCTCGACACAAACTCCGGACTAGAAAACACAAAGTACTGCTGCAGTGACGAGAAGAAGACGAACTTCTCGTCCCTCGGTGGGCGGCAGAGATAACCGGCCTGGAGTTTATCATCTGTACAATTAGTCAGTTCACCGAGGGGGGGGGTGTCTGATTAGAACATCTGGCTGAGCTCCACATGTTTCACTAAAGTATTCTAGCATTAAGAAGAACTTCTTAACGGAGACAGACAGCAGCATCAGGTCAACTTCTAATAAGATATTATATACTTTGACGCTACAGTCTTCTTTAATGTTAATATTATAATCGCTGTATCATTGCGTTTTTGTTTACGAGTGATCATGTGTGTCCCTGTGGAACATTAGCGGGGAGACCCCCCCCCCATCAGAGCCCCGCCGGGGGGAACGCGGCGTAAGCAGAGGAGGTGTCGGCCTGCGAGGAGACAAAGACACGACACCTCCGTAGAAAAGACACACGTCTGTTCTGACTGCAGGAACACGGGGTCACTGAATCCACATCCGCTCTCTAACCACACACACACACACACACACACACACACACACACGCTGCCCCACAGCTGAACTACTGACGTAACAGAGAGAGAGTGGGACTCCAGGAGGAGGAGCGCTGTGCTGCTGGAAAAATCGGTATGCCCTCAGCTGAGAGAGTGTGTGTGTGTGTGTGTGTGTGTGTGTGTGTGTGTGCGTGCGCTTGGCGGCGAGCCAAAGCCCTGAGCTCAGCATTCTGTAACGCACTTCCTGTGTGTGTGTGTCTGCGCTGCACAGCTTGCATAACAGCGCGGCACCCAAACTTAACTCCTCGACTCCCACCGACGGCGTCAGAGTTCCACCAGCACAACGACGCCTTCAGTTCAGCGGTTTGAACTGAAGGACTTTTGTGAGAAGGGTTCAATGAGATGAGAGTTAGCTTAGCTTAGCATAAAGACCGGGAGCAGAGGGCAACTGAGGAAGCAAATTCCAGCATTCAAACGCTCTCTTTTCGTGTTTCCTTCTACGACCTTTCGGAGGAACGACATCCGTCTTGTCAGATAACAGAACGCGCCTGGACTCCGCGGGTTAACACCTCCCTCCCAATTAAGCCCGAGGTAATCAATTTAAGCCGTCTCTGTGGGATTAAGTGTGGAGCATGTCTCAGTGGGGGGGGGGGGGGGTATCTCAGCTCCCTACAGAGTTCAGCCTGGGGAGACCGTCGCCCCCTCAAACCGGCCTGCAGGGGGTCATTTCTCAGCTATGTGGCCAAAGCCTTCATTTAACTGTCAGCACACAAAGCCAGAGACCCCCCCCCACCCCCCCTCTTTTACGCACCAGTCAGCCAGCTCAGCCTCCAGTCAGCCGGAAGCCAGAGCCTCTCGGGCCAAGGTGTGCTTTGTGTGTTTGTGTTGTGCGTGTACTTCTGGCAACAATGGGGAAGCTAATCTGTGACCCGCGGCACCGACAGGAAGGAGAAGTAAACAACCAATCGACAGCCACGGCCGCTGATTACCATCTGGGCTCTGGGCCATCTGGGCTCTGGGCCATCTGGGCTCTCTGGGCTCTGGGCTGAGAACAGTTACAGACGAGAGCTCACGGTGGCTACGCTAACAGAGTCCTGTGAGGCATCGCGCGTCGCCATGGGAACTGGTATCCAACATGCGAACCGGCTCTTTGCTAACCGCTAGCGGCTAAAGCCAAGAGCAGCCAACAAGGTGATGTGTTAAGGGCCCGGGGGGGGACGCCGGCCCGGGGGGGTAGAGCCTGAAGATGCACCTCCCATGTGAGCTCCGAAATGAGGTCAGTGAGGGTTTGTGTAAACTGGGTCAATCTGTGACCCTCTTCAGCTCCTCGCAGCACCGACATGCTAATCAACTTCCTCCCGATGCCTTCGTCGTAAACACACTTGACACTAATCATTTTTTAGATATAATTGAGCACATTAACTGCTTCCTTCATGCCCCCCCCCCCCCCCCTCCAAGGAGAACTGCATTAAACAACAAACTGTCCTCGGCCGAGCGCACTGGACCCTCAGCAAGAGGCCTCGTCCACTTCACCCAGACTGGAGAGGAAAGTCCTCGAGGAGCCGCACCCGGGGGGCCGGCTAGAGGGGGAGGGGGGGGGGGGGGCAATGCTCCTCCCAAGATCCAAGTGTAATCATAACTAGGTTCAGGACCCCCGTTGACACCCCCCGGTGTGTCGTTGTTGTGTGTATTGTGAGGTCATCTGGGCTTTGTGAGCTTATTAAATCCATAATCTCTTTTCTCCCAAACTGAAATACAACAGTGAAAAGGCCCCGGGGGAGGGAGGGGGGGGGCGTCTCCTTGTGGAACCCACCACAGACAGAGAACCTGCATGTGAGCTCACGCATGCTAACGCTACGTTCCATTAGCATCGGCCTGTTGGAGGGGATTCAGATATCGCTTGCTAGCTTTAAAAAAAAACGAAAACCATGATTCATCGCTGACATCCTTCTTTAACAAGTCGGATAAAAGTAAATGTGGAAGGATGGACGTAAAGGAGGAGTATCGGCGACTTGAGTAAATGCAATAACAAGTCTCCCCCGATGGAGGCGGATCGCGCCGGCTTTTTGTTTACGCCGACGAGTCCTCGCCAAGATAAATAACGGCCATCAGAGGTTCCACAAGAAGCTTCTAAAAAAGCTCCTTTTAATAGCGTTCGTTTGAGTGCTGCGTGCCCCTGGCGCATCCTCTGAGGACCAGCAGCAGCCTCTCCTCCGCAAATGCATTTGTTCCCACTCAGGAGACGCAGACCGGCGTCCACGGAGACCCTCGCTGCTGCTGCTGCTGCTAATGAGCACAGGAATCCCACCAAGACGCGAACGGAATCAAATAAAAAGCTTTTAGTGTTTGCTTACACGCTGACCCCGTTGTCCTTTATTAAATCGTGAAGCTAATATCCTCGGATTCGCGTACGTGAGCGGAATCGTGTGACTACACGAGGCCAATAGTCAGTTAGCTTATTTAGCTTAGCATCATGGACCGGAAACACACACCTGCAGTATACGGCGGTGACCTTTGACCTGTGAGCTGACAGCTTCCTGAGAACAGCGTGCGGATGGGGCGTGGTCACGGGGGGTGAAAGAAGCAGCAGCGACGACTCGGATCTGCACAGTCGCACTAAACGTGTCGTAAAGTCAGAGGCAACGAAAGGGAACCATGACGTCCATCACATTGCTACGCTATTTGTCAGTAAAATGACTAAATTACAAGACGGAGAAATGTTGCAATGCTTAAACATTTTTAATCATCTGTCAAAATATGTCCAATAATTAAACGCAAACTTTGCTTCAGCTGCTTCACGGTCCAGTCTTCAACTCACCGTCGAGTACAAACTATTATAGTGACACAAACCGGACAAAGAGCCCACTGAATACTGACGGCAGAACATCTCGTTCATCTGTGGAACGTTCAGCTCTGAAACGATCGCTGTGAGTTTGTAGAGAGATAAAAACATCCAGCGATTAATCGCTCGTAAAGGAAAGAGTTGCTGCTGAAGGACTAATTGATTAATGGGCTTTGATGGAGATCCAGCTTACTGGGAATAATCCAACACTTTAGATTACTTTAAAGCCCGCTTAGAAGAACTGAAAATATCTGTGTGTGTGTGGAACAACTCGCCCGACCACATTATCTCGTCTTTGTCTGACAGCGAGAAACCGTTCAACTGTCAGCGCGTCGCTGAGAGGATCCTCTCCTTCGCGGGGGGGGGGGGGGGGGGGGGGCGCCTTGTCAAAACAGGATGCAGGCCGCAGCGTATCATGGCCGTGCATCACACCAGAACCCCCCCCTCCCCCCTCCTGTGTTTGGGTTGACTGCCGCCCGCCGCCCGCGGCTCTGAGGGCAGATAAACATCGCTGCTGATCCGCCTTTATTTGAGCTTTTTTTTATCTGGCCTCCTTCTGTCGGGAGTATCTTTAACCCGCCGAGCGAGCTCTCCTCCTGCCGGCATCTCACCCGACCAGCTGGAGCCGGCTTCCTGTCCCGCTGCCACGGTGTGATTCATCCACTTTCTCTCAGCTCTTCATCCCGGTCACGCCCTCCGACGCGAGTCATCGCTTCTCCCGCCGCTGTTCTGAGACCCACAGGTCGGAGCGTCAATCATCAAGACAAGCATTTATTAGAGACCCTCCCCCCCACCAAAAGAATGTGTACCACAACTTGGCTCTTTGTATTTGGAGGGACCCGCCCCCTAGGTTGGGAAACACTGGTCTATGCTAGCTGAGGCTGGTAAAAGTAGCTCGCTGCCAGTTTAATGATGAAAGAATAATACCTTAAACCACAGCTCCTTCTGCCCCCCAGCGAGTACTTTGAACTAATACATTCTGCTGAAAATACTTCCATCATCCTCCTCATCCTGTGACCAGCGGCGTGACCCGTTTCCACCCCGCGTAACGACAACGCTCCTCCTCAACGGACGAAAACAGTGACTCGACTTGTAGGCGCATGCCGGGGAAACCCAGGCGCTGGTGCCCGGCCGGGCCTGTGGCGGCTTGTGGCATCGCAGGTGTGTGTGTGTGTGTGTGTGTGTGTGTTCTGATATAAGCTGATGATCACACATTTTGATTATTCTTATTAATCGTCATCATCTTTTTGTTTCAGTGGATTTCACACTACAGGTTAGTCTGGAAAACACTACGCGTGAGAGAACAAGCCTGAAGAACGGAGACATATGCAGGAGAACTAAGGTGTTGTAAAGCGTTGAAAGGTGAGAATATTTGGAAAGGCAAAAGAAGTCAAGAACAATTACAAAACTATTTGGTTCATTTTCTACCCGAATGACGAGGTTACTTTTCTACTCAATGATGAACTCAAAACATCTGTAAAATGTAGAGAAATCAACTGAGACTCCCGACCAATCACAGAGCTTAATATGCTGTAATTAAATTAATTCACCTTGGGATTTAAAATATCACAAAATAGCATCAATTATATTCCGACCAACCGTCCACAGGATTGAGTTCATTACGACACAAAGAAAAGCAGCAAATCTCAACCAATGACAAACTGGAACCAGGTCGTGGTGAACATCTGCATGATGAAGATGAACTGAGTTTAACCAACGATCCAGTGGTTGATTCCGCCATGACGCCATGAGGCTGCAGTGAAGTTGTGCAACGCCGATACGCCGCGCGGCGGTTTCGGGATGCACCTCAATCAAAACCTGGTTCTACTCGCCCCGGACCTCCACCCGAGCAGCAGCGGCACGCGCGTGAGTCAGCGCGCCGCCGGGAGGCACCAGCGGAACCGGATCATTTGCTTGTTATCACGGAGGCCGTCGGCGTGCTGGAAGGTGGAGCATGCAAAGAGGCAGAATGGTGCACTGGACAGGGGGGGGGGGGGGGCCGAGGCGGAGGAAGGAAGGAAGTGGATGGTTGTGGGTCGCGTGACAACAGTCAATGGGTTTACATCCTGGGACACATGGTTTGGGTATTTGGTGAATTTGGCTAAGCTAACGGGCGTGGAGGGGCTGGGGCACCGCGGGGAGGCGGGGCAGGTTTTGTGAGAGTCCGCCGATGGACGCCAGCTTTCAGTTCCCATTAAAAAAGGTGAGACGTGCTCATGAGCAGCTCCTGGTCCACAAAGCTTCTCGCTCCACATCCACCCGCCTCCACCCTCCCCGACGGGGGCCCGGCGCTCCCGCGGGAAGAGGACAGCGGGGGGCTTTTCGAAGATGGAATCATCAGTAACTCGAGGTTTTATGGAGCAGACGCTCATTGGCAGCTGGATGGAACCTGTTGGCTTGATGCAGCTCTACGAGGGAGCTATTGAGTGCAGGCGGAGGTTAACCAGCTTCTCCCCTCCTCCACCCTCCTCCACCTCCAGTTAAAGGTTAATGATGAAGGGACACGGCACAGGAATACAGATGTGGAGACCGAACCAGTGCATCTGCGGCGAGAGATTACGAGTAAATGTCGAATCCCACCGACTTTAAACCTTCTGATAATCAGCCGGGTGGGTCTTCTTCCTCAGAGCGCCAGTAGGACACGTCACCCTCATCACTCACACACACGGATTCATCCGCCACAGAAAATAGTCCCCAGATGCATTTCCTCCTTTTGGCTTGATGATTAAATAAAAATAAATGGAATGATGTATCCTTGAACACATGTATTGTGTTTATCTACAGAAGCATTTGGCCTTTTCACAGCGTATAAACAGGTTTAAAACCTCGGCACATTAATACGCTTCTTTCGGTCTCTGAAAGGAGAAACCGAGCTGGAAAATACCTGCGTGAAACGCCACAGCGGGGAAGCGGCGCGCTGACCCGGCCGCAGCACCTCAACACCCGCAGCCGTAATCGTGTTCAGGTACGCTCGCCGCCGCGTGAACCCATTTGTCAAAAGAGGTCGGCCAGCGTGCGCCGCATGCAGCGCCAATAAAAATTGATCTTGCAAAGCATAAGCATATAGATGCGCTATGCATACACCATTACTGCTGATCAACAACCTGCGAGCCTGTGTGTGTGTGTGTGTGTGTGCACACACTCTCTAGCTCAGCATACTTACAAAGCTTTGCATCATTCAGGAGATGTGCACAGACTCATCGATTCTTCAGAAAATTGCAGATGAGGGCGAGCTGCCAGTAATCAGTGTGTCCACAAAAAGGCCCGAGGCGTCATGTATGTATATATGCATGTATATATGTGTGTGTGTGTGTGCGTCGACACAAATTGTGCATTAAAATGCTGGGCTTGAGTTTAGTTTGATATGCTGAGTTCAGCAGTAAAGCGTATAAATATGTATCACAATATCAGATCTAGCTGAGGAGGATCAATATTTCTGACGCAGTTAGCAACAAGCTAACAAACATTCAGCCACTCAAGTCACTTTTCTTAAGTAGCTTTCAGTTCCATTTAAGACGAACGTCCCCTTTGAACTGTCATGTCCTTTTGGTTTAAATAAAAGAAGAGACAAAAATCTCTAAAAATAAAGACGAATGTGCATCACGTGAATTTTCTGCTTCCTATTCCTTCAGAATAATCATCGTGTCATAATGTCCCACAGAATCAGTCAGTGACACAGAGTTCTTTTACTTTTGATAGGTACTTTTCGCAGATAATACCTTCACTGTGAGCATCACTTTGAAGTACTTCTACCAGTTTGTGGTATTTGTACTTCTCCGTCCTCCTGGGGGCCAGGCGGGCCCAGACGGGGACTCCGTCTCCCTCCCGTGATGTCCGTCTGTGAAGCCACAGGCCCGAGACAAACGCTGCACTAAAGGACAGTAATGTGGATTTGGAACAGTGAAACCATCTCAGGGGGAAGCTGCGTTTTAATTGGTAGGCTGAGCCAAAGAACACAACACAAAGCTCTCCCAGACGAAAATACTCAACTACAATTCCATAATTTGGGGGTTTCGGGGGCTGTAAATAGGAGCGGTGATGTTACCG